GTTCCGGCTTGAGTGGTATTTATCCTTTCCATGTTTCTTATCCCTTGTAAAAGGGCAAGGGTGACAATTTGGGAGGGATCATGCCCTAAATGCTCCATGGAACCATCAGAGCCTGAACATGAAGACAGAAGAGTTTACACTTACATGGGGAGGGGAGGGCGGGCAACGGGGGAGAGGTCAGGCAGGGTCCTTGAAGGTACAGAGACACAGCGAAACTGACATGAACCCTGGAATCAGACTGCCAGGTTCAAGCTCCAGTATGCCACGCACTAACCCTGGGACCTAGGCAAGATACCTGAGCTTTCTACGCCTCACTGGAAATTGGAAGTGATGCTCCTTGCCTCAGGGGCGGGAGTGAGATTTCCATGAAGTTGCACGTGGGAAATGCTCCGTCCATGCTACTGATTATTATCATGGAATTAATTCATTTTTGGTCGGTGTGGCTGAGTGGAGGAGAGATGTGGCTTTTGGGTGAAGCTTCTCTGACAATCCGCCGGGCTCAGAGGGTTGAAGGTGCTCTGGAACAACTCTGTGGACCTACATTTTCTGAGACATAGGGACTCTGATCATGTTCTAGTGCTAGTTAGCCCTTGCGGTTTTGCCTGTGGGGAGATCTGGCATCTCTTCCTGAGTTTAGGAGCAAAATAGGAACCTTCTTAAAGAGAGAAACAGTACAGAAAAGTCTACCATTGGCTTCTCGGCCAGTTACTGGTGACCTTGGGGAAGGGAACCAAGAGGAATTTAAGAAGAGGATGATGAAGATGAGTAATAACAGCAGCTAAAGTTAATTCAATATTCTAGTCTTCTAGGCATGGTACTGATGTGTATCTCACATGTCATCATTATAAACCTCTCTGAATGGAGTTAGTACTATGATCATAGTTTTACAGATGGGGAAACTGATGAATGGGAAAGGTGAGTTACATGTTGAAGGTCATATAGCTGGAAAGAGGAGCATTCTGATTAAGGTCAGTGAAGGACTTGGCTGTGTGGGAAGAGAAGCATGTGGCTATTCAAGTCTTAGGTGAGGAAGGCCCAGCTAGCTTAGCTGCAAAGAAAGTATGGGTCATAAGGACAGGCTGAGTATGAGTCATCAACTGGGCAGTGAGTTGAGAGATGGAGCCGATTGCACCAGAAGACCTGGCTTGCCCTCGGTTAGGAACTGCAAGATGATCCTCTTGTCAGACTCACCTCTGATTAGAGCTTGACTAACTAGTGCCATGGGTGATTTTGGCCACCACGGCCCGGAGAGCGGCACTCTAGATCTGGGAAGGTGAAAAGAATTAGGATTGCTCAGTTGGGTTTTTTGGCCCGAATCTGTCTGATTCTGACTGTAGAAATTTGGTCCAAGCATCTGAAGTCCTGACCACATTTAACTGATTTACAGTGAGATATTCTCTGCACAGCACGCTGTTTTTCAGCAGGATTATATAAACGAGGACTGGATTTGATTAGAAGACATGGGTGTAAATCTGAGCTTCGCAATTTGGACGTTGTATTTAACTGCTCTACCCCTGGTTTCTTTGAACATGAAATAAGGTATTAAATTCATTGTTTTAATCCAACAGCCAAGAGAAAGTGTGGGATATAGTTGGCTGTCGGTAGAAGGTAGTCATATTGTATTGTACCGCTCAAAGCACAATGAGCAAGAGTGACCTTCAAAGGGTATGTGTTTTCCGAGCCTCCAACTTGTTGTAATTGATTTTCAAATTAAATATTAATTTTTTATTATGGAAAATTTTAAACTCAAAAGCAGAATAATATCATGGATGTCCATGATCCCGAGTAAATTAATTATAATACCTACAGTTTTTTGAGTACTCTGTACTTGGCATGCTTTGAAAGACACATTCTGTGTATTAACTAATTTCTTTAATCCTCACGACAGCAGTCGGTAGGTGCTAGTTAGTACCCCATTTTGCCGATGAAGGTCTTAAGCACAGAGAGTTTAAACAACTTGTTTAGAGATATCAGCAAGAATGTGATAGAGTTAGACTTGAACCTGGGCAGCCTTGCTTCAGATGTCACAGACTTCATTCAACTGGGTCCAGGACAAGCAGTTCCCATGATTAGAGGCTGCTCAAATTGAGACCCGCTGGGTGGCCATATCTGATTACCCCAATGAAGTATGGGCCCTGAAAAAGGAAGGAAGGGAATATTCATTGTTTTTTAAAAAATTATATTTTCATTAAATTTTTCTTGCAGTTTTTTTTTCTTCTCAAATCTCATCCCCCACCAAAAATATGTTTGGAACATTTAACATGACTTGATTTTCCAACTAGAAAAATCCTGAAAAGTTTCCTTCTGGGCCAGACTCTCTGGTCCTTTCTGGTTCTAGACGAAGCCAGATCCGCACTGGAGTGCAGCTGGTGAAGCAGGAGAGGAGTGCTGTGGGTCTTTTCTACAATCTGATGCAGTCTTTAGAGTTGTGTTTTTTCCTGAAAGAGATTTTTGCTCAAATTTGGATTTTTAGCCAAACAATGTTACTGCAGTATTTTGTTTTACTGTAGAACAGTCTCAAATGTTCAAAGACAAATGCATATCCACTTACTGGTTAGGTTTCTTTTTTTCTTTCTGTTGTTTAAGGTGGGTGTTACCAGAAACTAGACTTAATATTCTAAATAGAATGTTATCAAGACTGGGGCAGGATTTCTCTCTCGCTCCTCTGGCTCCTTCTCCCTTTACAAACCCCAAATCTGATGTTGGGCATGGCCTCCCCTGTTCTTCTCACCCTGCTTTGTTGGCCTGCGTTCTTTTTTGTAGCTACATCTAACTTGCCCTCTTGCCCTCCGCCTGATTTATTTTGGCAATGCGGTTAAAATGGTGTCTTTTTTCTACAGAAAATGTGTTTTGGTTTCTCCTGAGAAGAATAAGCTTTTGTTCTTCAAAGTTAAATAAATCGAATTGCTTTCAGCCTCCAAATGCCACTGCCTTGTCTTCATTGTCACTGGTCTTTGGCTTTTTAAAAATGATCCTATCCTAAGCATTCCATGTCGCATGTTTCTGAAATCTGCACTCTTTTTTCCATTTGCTGATAGTATCCTGTTGGAAATATTGATTTAGTGAGTTTACATAACCATATTTAAAAATTTTTTTTTAAATTAATCAGATTTTAATGGACACATGTTGCATATATTTATCATGTCCAATGTAATGTTTCCAAATATGTACACGTTGCGATGGCTAAATTGAGCTAATGAACATATGCATTGCCACACATAATGTTTTTTTGTGGTGAGAACACTCCAGATCTACTCTTTGCAATTTTTAAGAATGAATATATTATTAACTGCAGTCACCATGTTGTACAATAGATCTCTTGAAATTATTTATCCCCTCTAACTAAAATTTTGTGTCTTTTGACCAACCCCTCCCCTGCCTCTACCTCTAACCACCTTTCTTCTCTCTGCTTCTATGAGTTCAACTTTTTTTAGATGCCACATGTAAGTGAGATGATATGGTATTTGTCGTTCTGTGCCTGGCTTATTTCACTCAATGTAATGTGCTCTAGGTTTATGCATTTTTGTCTTCAAAGACAGGCTTTCCTTCTTTTTTTCTGGCTGAACAGTATTTCATTGTGTATCTATACTACATTTTATTCATTCATCTGTTCAGGGACTCTTAGGAAGATTCCGTGTCTTGGCTATTGGGATTATGCAGCAGTGCACAGGGCAGTACAGATACCTCTTTGACATACTGATTTCAATACCTCTGGATATGTACCAAGAAGTGGGATTGTTGGATCATATGGTAGTTCTATTTTTAATTATTATTATTATTATTATTTTTTCATGAGACGGGGTCTCACTCTTGCCCAGGCTGGAGTGCAGTGGCACGTCGCCACTGTCCAACTGAAATTTTATGTCCTTTGACCAACATCTCCCCAACGCTCCCTTCCTGTTTTGCCCCCTTTTTAAATTGGGTTATTTGTTTTCTTGCTTTTGAGTTGTTTGC